TGAAATGCTCCAAACATATAATGCAGTGATTGAGAGCTGAAGAAATAAAGGCTCCTCAGAAGATGTGAGATGTTCTGGAGGCTTGTGAAGATCATTCCTCCGCTGAGGAACAGTGAAAGTAAAGCTTCTGGAAACAAACGCTCCTCAAAAGATCCTGAGGATCAGATTTGAGACTCTAAAACATGATTGATGGAGAATCGAGTAAAGCTGAGCTGCTTCAGTGCAGTAAGTGTTCATCTGGAGATATTACAGCAGTTATTCTGAGAAAAATCAGTCTAGATTTGACACGTGAAGATCCAGCTGAAGCGGGATGTTTCTACAATTACATTAAAAGAGCTTTTACTGGATAAAAGAGGCCTTAGAAATGTGTATCAAATATGATACCGCAGGCTTTAGGGTTAAATCACCGAATCATAAATCTATACCAGGTCAGGTCATCCAGCACAAAATTAGACTGAACTTCCTCGCTGCACCCAGCAGCTTCCTAATTACACTTCTGGCCATTCATTACACACACACACACACACACACACACACACACACACACACACACTCACACACACACACAGGCACACACACACACACACTCACGCACACACTCAGGCACACACACACACACACACACACACATTCACGCACACACACTCAGGCACACATAGACACACACACTCACACGCATGCACACACACACTCACACACACTCACACACATTCACACACACACACACACACACCCCTAATAAACCCACATTGCATCAGAGAACAGTCTGTGTCTGATGCCATGTTTGCAGATATGCTAAACATATTACAGGTCTTTTTATTTCATTTATGCCTAACTTTACTGTACTTTGAGCATTTTCCATTGATTTCTCATTATACTTGTGTCTCATTTGACTTCCTTGAATTTTGCGGCCTGCAGTTTCTGCGGAGTCTGAAGCTGATCATGACACACGAGTCTCTACATGTTTACGTTCAGCATGACTGATTTCCTCAGACTCTGATTATGCCACATCATCATTCATAATGCAGGAGAAATAATGCATATCGTTCACTATATGGAATGCAACCCAAGGTGGCCCCAGTATCTGGACACTTAAATCACACATTAAAATGCATGAATGTATGTATATATAAAGATGAGACTTTAAAAAGTTCGGTTTTGTTCTGTTATGCACATAATAAGAGGGGTTTGAAACACAATCAAGGCTGATTATGTAACATTTAGTGGAATTGTTTTTGTTTAAATGCATTCAACTAACAATACACACTTGAAGACTCAGACCAGCCCTTGTTTTCAGTGTGTGTGTGTGTGTGTGTGTGAGTGTGTGTGTGTGTGTGTGTGTGTGTGTGTGTGTGTGTGTGTGTAATGAATGGCCAGAAGTGTAATTAGGAAGCTGCTGGGTGCAGCGAGGAAGTTCAGTCTAATTTTGTGCTGGATGACCTGACCTGGTATAGATTTATGATTCGGTGATTTAACCCTAAAGCCTGCGGTATCATATTTGATACACATTTCTAAGGCCTCTTTTATCCAGTAAAAGCTCTTTTAATGTAATTGTAGAAACATCCCGCTTCAGCTGGATCTTCACGTGTCAAATCTAGACTGATTTTTCTCAGAATAACTGCTGTAATATCTCCAGATGAACACTTACTGCACTGAAGCAGCTCAGCTTTACTCGATTCTCCATCAATCATGTTTTAGAGTCTCAAATCTGATCCTCAGGATCTTTTGAGGAGCGTTTGTTTCCAGAAGCTTTACTTTCACTGTTCCTCAGCGGAGGAATGATCTTCACAAGCCTCCAGAACATCTCACATCTTCTGAGGAGCCTTTATTTCTTCAGCTCTCAATCACTGCATTATATGTTTGGAGCATTTCAATCTCATCTTACTGAGACAGATTACTGGAGATATAGAGCGACGACTGATATTTAGATCATTTTATGTGAATATCTGCTGTACTGTTATAAAGATCTCATTGATTTACAGCACAAGCAGAAGAATTTCATCTCACCTTTTGGCCATTTAAATATCAGCATCTGCACATATTTGCTCGTTTTGGGTTTCTGAATAAATCTGGTGTTTCTTCTCGAGTATGAGCTATTCTCTTATATTATATGAGCCTGATGAATCAAATATGATACCCAATAAAAACATGTATTTTTTGTCTAAAGGTTAAATAATCCTCCATTAAAAAAAAGAAGATTATTCTGACTATTATTTCATATGTCAAGCTTTATGGTTAATAAATACAGTAGCAGTTAAAAGTTTTTGAACAGTAAGATTTGTAATGTTTCTTAAAGAATTCTCTTCTGCTCACCAAGCCTGCATTTATTTGATCCAAAATACAGCAAAAGCAGTAGAATCTTGAAATATTTTTACTATTTAAAATAACCATTTTCTATTTGAATATATTTTAAAATGTAATTTATTCCTGTGATTTCAAAGCTGAATTTTTAGCATCATTACTCCAGAGTCACATCAATCTAATATTCTGATTTGCTGCTCAAAAACATTTATTATTCATATTATTATTATGATGTTGAAAACAGCGGAGTAGATTTTTTTCAGGTTTCTCTGATGAATAGAAAGTTCAGAAGGACAGCATTTATCTGAAATAAAAATATATTTTGCAACACTATAAATGTCTTTATCACTTTTGATAAAAACTGTATTTAATCACTTTTGATCAATTGAAAGCATCCTTGCTAAATACAAGTATTAATTTCTATAATTCATACAATGTGTGTATTCGATAAATAGGGAAAAAGGACAGTTCACAAAGCTACTTATAGAGGTACTTCCTTTCATTTCTGACCTGGCTGTGAATGCAGACCTACTACATGTGTGCCCTATATAACTACACTCTCGGGGCGGCACCTTCTCAAAACCTACACTTTTATGTAGCTCACAAAGGTGTACCTTTTGAAAAGGTGACTTCTTTTGTCCTCCCTTTTTTTTCTGAGAGAGGACACTGCATGAGATAGTTTCCCACAATGCAGTGCATTTCTTGTTCTTGTCCCAAAACGATATCTTCTAAGATAACCGGGTAAGCTCATGTGAGGAAAATGTAGCACACTATTGTTGAGTTTATTGTTGCATTATTGTTGTGCTGTTTCACATTCTATTAGAGGAGTGAGCAGTAGGCAGTACGCACTGAGTATTATACATATACTGTGCAGTATTCAGTAACTGGTGCACTAGTATTTTATTGTGAACAAAGTGTTCATCTCGGTCTACAGCACATGAGCTGAGGAAGTTTGTGTCGTGCCTCCACCTACTGGACAGAGCGCGTTACTGCAGTCTTCCGAGCGACGTCCTCCAGTAGGCGGAGCTACACTTCCATATATGGTCCGTGGCGTTACTGCAGTGGGCGGAACCTCGCATCCGATTGGCTCAACTGGTGTCCGTCACCTGAGGTCGATAGCAAACGAGCTAACTAGCGCCACACAGCCAAAACACCGCGAATGAAGCACAGCGGCGAGAAACCCGCGGGTTACTTATTTAAATCTGTTTATTTATTTATTTATATATTTAAACATTATAAATCGGTTATTTGCAGAAACCGGGACGGAAGGAGAGGTATGCTGATTATTGCGCGAGTACTAAGTTAATTGGAAACAGCTCAGTTTACTAGAGATGCAGACACATATTAGCTTAATGTGGATGCAAATAACTACACCCAACATTTCCGTGCTATTTAACACGTTTTGGTTTAAGGTATTAGTACTGTTTAATGTCTACAGACTAGTTAACTTGATGAAAAGTGTTTTTTTCTATAAGTATATCCTTGCTAGTTCAAACCAGCTGCTTTGTTTATTTGTTTTGCTAACTTGTGCCATTGCTGTTTAGCTAGCGCATAAAAGCAACCTAACATAACCTCAGTTTTTGCTCTATATAATCATTATTATTGTAACAGATCTACATGTAACCTTTCTTGAGCATCTCTATAATAACGTATAAAAAGATGAATTAATAAAATACGAGTAATAATTGCTAATAATACTTTTATGTTACGACAGTAGTAATTATTTAAAGTTGAAAACTGGTTAAACGCTGCTATTTATAAAGTTTTCGTATTTCATCATTATATTTTAATTTATTAACTAGCCTATCCCTTACGGAAATTAATTAACCATGGTTTTATTGTAGGAAAGGTGTAGTAACCATGTTTTTATTGATTATCATTTGTATAACCACAGTTTTACTACAAATGGTTAAACTATGGTAGTGTAGCAAAATCATGGTTAATTTTTTTTAATGTTTTTTTTTGCTTTAATTTGTAATAAAACCATGGTTACATTTTTGTGAGGGACTAATACAAAATGCGTAACTGGAGATGTATTGGTGTACATAAAAAAAATAAATAAATAGAGTAAACCGTTCGGTAAAGTCCTAGTAAGAAGCTCTGAGAAATGCACTTAGACATGTTGTTTTTCTATTTATTTTTGCGTGCTCCTTTGCTGGACACACACAGGAACCTCTCTCTGCGTCTTTACAGGAGAATGGTCGTCCCTGATGGTGGAAGTGTCCAGCCAGCGGACAGCGGTGAAGCAGACGAGGTGATGTCCAGCTCGGAGCCGGAGTTCGGTCCCAGTCTGACCGCGGTGGAGCTGCAGGAGCTGGTGCGCCGTCTGGAGGTCCAGAATCAAGCCCTGCGCAACAGGGGCAGCAAACTCGCCAGCAACAGCAACCTCTCCGCCGGAGCTAACTGGAATAACCTGCACGGGGCCATGGACACTTCTCCCGGAGCAGAGGATGCTGGGAACCTGGCGGGCAGCAGCAGCAGCGGTGAGGACATGTCTCCGCTGCCCGAGGCCTCCAGGCCGGAGGAGGATGAGTTCTTAGGCTCCAAACAAACTCTGGGACGCTTCGAGCCGAGTCTGTCTCCGGATCTCTGTGATTCAGTGACGCTGGGAGCGAGGGATGCGGGTATGGACCAGTCCGGCCTGGACGAGGTGGATGAGCTTGACTTAGAGACGTGCGCTCAGACCGAGGATGAAGACAGTTGGTGGGTTTAATCATCTTTTTATCGTAATCTCACGTAGCTAGGTGATGTAACGGTTACCGGTTTGATGATAAATCTTGATAAGATTCCCCACGGTTGGTATTACCGTTTCTTATTTTAATTATCATTAAAACCGTATCCGATTCCCGTGATTTGAACAACTGAGTAGGGCTGCACGATAAATCGAAATGGAATCGAGATCACGATTCGACAGAAGCTGTGATTGTCATGCGTATCTTTCAGTGAAGCACGGTTCTGTGATCAGCAGTAAATCTCCATCCGAAGGCCAGAGAAACTCCAAATACGCCTCGCAGAAGAAACCCAGAAAATGCCTATCGCTGCAGCTGAATAAACAGAAGATTCAACTGCTTTCATTGATTCAACGTGACTCATAAACACACGACTATGGCAATATACGGTTTATCTGAGTTCTTATTATTATAATTTTCATTAAAATAAAGTATATTTATAATGCAATGCCTTTATCACTGCTTAAATACTATGAAATATGTTGCGTGCCTTATTCTGTGTAAGAAGCCACGTCATCTCACAGAAGGATTTATTTCAAACACTCGACTGACGTTATGAAGTGAGTTTGGAGTAAAAACATGTTATTAAATGTGGTATTTTCACGTGCTTTCAGATGGAGCCGCATTTACTTCACAGAGCCGTGGTTCACTGAGAAGCTACGCAAACAGCTGTCATTATCGCCAACGATTTCTTCAATTTCATATCGTCTGCGATTTATTTTGCGTAGCTTGTCAGAGAACTACGGCTCTGTGTAGTAAATGCTGCTCCATCTGAAAGCACGTGATGATGATTTCCTGCTGATTACAGAACCGGCTTTACTAACAAAATGCGCATGACAATCGCATTCGATTAATCGTGCAGCTCTACAACTGAGGATAAATAAATGCTATCCAGCATAAAGCAGGGTTTTACAGATGTGCACCGCAGCAGAGTAGTTTCGTTTTGAGTGAAAACATGGTGGAAAACTGGGAGGGTTTAAAAGAGTGCTAAGGGAATTATACAAATAAATATCCTTGAACTTTGGTTTTGTACATTTTGTGAGTGGTTGCTTGTGTGTTGTTGTGCTATGTTACTTGAAGGATCAGTTCGCATCAAGAATAACAATTTCCTGATAATTTACTCGCATGTCATCCAGGATGTTCATGTCTTTCTTCCTTCAGTTGAAAAGAAATTACGTTTTTTTTAAGGAAAACATTCCAGAATTTTTCTCCATCTTTCTCTCGACTTCAATGGTGCTCAACGGGCTGAAGGTCCAAATTGCAGTTTCAGTGCAGCTTCAAAGAGCTCTACTCGATCCCAGCCGAGGAATAAGGGTCTTATCTAGCCAAACGATTGGCCATTTAAAAACAAAAACATTTATAAACTTCTTAACCACAAATGCTCATCTTGCACTCGCTCTGAGATGCGCATGCGTGATTTGACACATTGTGTAAACACATTGGAAAGGTCACACACGGTAAAAAGTTTGGGTTGGGCGAAAAACTCCATCTGATTTTCTCCTCCAACTTCAAAATTGTTCTACATTGTTGTTTTACCTTTATTGTAAAGAGCGTTTGACTTTCTTTGCTCGTTCGTTTTGTAAACACTGGGTCGGTCCGTTGAGCACCATTGAAGTCCACTATATGGAGAAAAATCCTAGAATGTTTTCCTCAAAAACTTCAATTTCTTTTTGACTGAAGAAAGAAAGACATGAACATCTTGGATGACATGTGGGTGAGTAAATCTTTATTCTGGAAGTGAACTAATCCTTTAAGGCTGCAGTACACTACATGACTTTTAAAATAGGAACACATCGTGCACTTGCACACTTAAGAAATGGTTACAGATGAAAGCTGAGCATCGTACACTAAATGATTGGGGATCACACACACTACCAGTATTTCAGGTCATTCCCAAAACTACAAAGTCACACAGAAACATGCTTCGTTGCTACATGCATGACAAATAAAAACAATGGTTTAAAATCGGCTCAAAATAGAAAGCAGAGTCTGTTGCATTAATACACTACACAGTTTTCTGTGAAATCGGTCAACTCATATCTGCAGATTAGCTCTGACTTTGATTTTGACTTCTGACTTTGAATGATTAGTTCACCCAAAAATGAAAATGAAGTCATCATTTATTCACCCTGTTGTTGTTTAATTTTAGTATCACTGATACCTTTTAGGACGCTATCACCCATGCGACTCATGTTCTGGGGTTTGGTGAAAAACAAACTAAAATTGAACACATTATTAAACAAAAATCCTGACCGTGACTATTAGTCTTTATGTGAACCACTGTGCCTTAATGGGACTCTATTAGCACAGCAGTTCACTCCGGCTTGCCCTGGAAAAGCACACAAGTTGTGAGAAATCAAAGCATGGCGTCTCTTGCTAGGGGGTTTCTTATGGCGCTTTTCCACTGCGTGGTACGACTTGGCTCGGCACGGCTCAGTACAGTATGGCACGGTTTGGCTCGGCACGGTTTGCGTTTCCACTGCAGTTCAGTACCGCTTTAGAGTGGGCGGGATTATTCACATGTCGTTATAGTTGCACCACCTCTACTACCACGACTCCTAAAAATAACGTTTTCATTTTGCGTCGCCCCATCAAGCTCTCGCTGGATCCGCTCCTCTGCTATCAACGAGAGGAACGTCTGTACTTCCGCAACAGACAACAAAACTTTTTGGTTGTTAAAAAAGGTGCGCTCATTCAAAACAGTTGCGTTCGATCCTTCGCTGGCTGTGCTGATTTAAATCTAGCGGTTCTGTTGTGTTTGTGTCGCAAGTTCAGTGACGCAGGTAGTGACGATTCTCTCCGGCCAATCCGTGATCAGCAGAGTTTACACGTCACGTTTTGGTAACGGTACAGTTCACTTGGAACCCCAACCGAAGTGGTACTAAAAAAAGTGCCAGGTACTGTACCCAGAGGAAAACCCCCTAAAAGTGAACCATACCGAGCCGTACCATGCAGTGGAAAAGCGCCATTACTGGCCCAAGTCAAAAGAGCCCATTCTCTGTGATATTCTGGTCTCTAGATTGTTTCAGCTGGCATCGTTTCATTGTTTACCCATTGGAAAAAGTATGTATAAAGTACGTCTGCTGTAATTATTGTGCGACCGTGCTGTGGTTCTGAATGCGTGATAGTGCTGCATCGGTGAATGTGGCTGTGATTTGTGAGCGTCTGAGACCGTGGGATCCTCCTGTGTCTGCATGGGACGTCCAGTGGCATCTCTCAAATCAGAGTGAAGCCTGTTAGAGCTGGAGCCGTTCTTGTCTCGGCTCAGTGCAAAGTGAAATCCACTTTGTGGAAATGAAGGATTGTCGGGTGCGTTACTAAGATGCACATGGTTTGTTCTTAACTGGCAATTTCTCAAGCACCATTTTTAATATTTAACTACACCATCAGCATGCATGACTCACTGGATAGGCAGTTTACTCGTCCATTAGCGTTGACTTAACTACAGCTCATAACTAGACAGGCTGCGTGTCCGTGAGGAAGAATAACTGCACGGAAATTTGGTAACACTTTTCTTTAAGGTGTCCTTGTTACACATTTTACATTATAATAACAATAAATGATCAGAAGTCAGAAAGAGCTGTTTGTTGTTTACACACTTTATTTTAAGGTGTCCTTTTTACACGTTACACGCACTTACTATTATAATAACAATTAATTATGCGTAATTACATGCAAGTAACCCTAAACCAAACCCTCATCCTAATCTTAACCATATAGTAAGTACATGTAGGTAATTAATATTACTCAGTACTTAAATGTGTAATCACACTGTAACAAGCACACCTTAAAATAAAGTGTAATCAAAAAATATAACGTTTCTAAAACTGAAACCAAAGGGTGATCTTTTTGTTAGTATATTTTAATAAATGTACTAATTATTAGGCTGTAGGCTTAGTTCATTCTGCATTGATTTGTTTAATTATTACAGAATTTCCAAAAGGAATTAATAATAACAAGCAGCTAATCTCTAATGCATTCATCAGAATAATCCAGCCAGTGATCCTGCAGCGGTTTGGCATCGGCCAGCAATTAGCCGCTCCATATGTCCATATCTGTAGCGTGAGGTTAATAGAGGCTTGTCTGCTCGCAGCTCTGGGGCCGTGTCTTTGGCGAGGCGGTAAGCAGCTTTTGGGGGATTTAAGCTTCATGTGATACTGCTCATTCTGGATGGTGAAAAGAGAGGATTGTTATGAACCGGATGGTGACCTGGGCAGTTTTTAATAGGATCCGTTATATAAAGCTGTGGTGTGTTGTTTGGTTTGGGATGCTGCTTGCATTGTCTCTCATATCTATTGAATGTGAAGTAAGTAAAGTAAATATAAATGCTGGTAAGATGTTCGCAGAGAGACTTCCTGAAGACTGTTAAACACTGAAGATGCCTGTCTATAGGTTTAGGGTTAGGGCCTCGTCAGTCTGTCCCTTCTGTTAAGGCGGCATAACATCTCTAGTGATATTATTATTACTATCCGCTTGACAGGAGGAGTGTTTGGGAAACCTGTTGATAAACAGTCATTATATTTGCTCTTACATTTGTGGCTAGTGGTCCAGAATTAAATATGCAGAAGTGCCGTCTTGTCTTGTTTTCACGCTTTCTGACTTAATGGCAGTGAAAGATACTTTCAATTAGGGCTGTGCGGTATTGAAAAAAAACGATACCTTGTTAAAAAAATGCGATATTCGATATGCGATACGGTATTGCTTAAAGTGCGAAAAATCTATTTAAATTATATTTAAAAATTTCACATTCTTTCTTGCAAAAGAAAGAATCACTACAACTTCTGAAAGTGACCAGCAGTGTTTTAGCAGTACATAAAAAGTAATGTCACAAATCAGAAAATGTAATTTTAACATCAACGTGAACATACAAACAAAAAAATGAATGACACTAATTTTATATCATTGTGACTTTGCTTTCCATACACTACGTGCTTCTTCATATGCCACAGCAAACACTATAGCCTGAGAAAGTTCAAACTTGATTAAAGGCAAGTGAACGGTCAGTAAAAAAAAGAAAGAAAAAGGGGGAAAAAAGAACAAATACACAATTTACAAGCATAGATAAAATAAACCGTAGTATTCAGGTACAGAAATGTAATAATTAAGTGTAAAATAACACTGCATTGTTCACTGTATGAATTAAATTTAGATTAATCTTTGTTATAGCTGTTTTGTTGTTTGATTAACATTAGTGACATATGCAGCAGCAGGTATTTATAGGCTGCTGTCCCTTTAAATCCGACTGCACCGATCCAGTATCATAATACACATCCGATTTCTTTCTCAGCTGTTTACATTCATTTAAAACATAACCGACTGCGTTTACGAGAATGATCGTCGAGACGGGTGCTATTGACATGATTCTGTGTGTATGTGTCTGTTCAAACACGAGGAGATGCGGAAGACTAATCAACTCGGTGTTTGTGCGCCGTCTGAAACATGTCTCTGTGTGTGTGTGTGTGTGTGCGTGTTACGGCTGGGCAAATTATTATTTTTTTCGATTAATCGTTTTAAAAAAAAATTCTCAAAAGCCGCGAATCGATCTTTTCCGGGATTTATTTCAGCACACATTTAAAACAAGATCTGATTAACGTGAATCTTATCATTAGTCTTCTCCACTAGATGTCCCCTTTATTTACCTCGCGCGATGTTACTACAGAAAGCACTATTTAGCAGTCTGAAGACTCAATGCTACTACTGCTAATAAATATTAATAAATATTTAATATATTTTTTTATTTTAACAGTAAACCTCTGTTGTGCAGCACTTTGTTTGCCAAAAAAATAAAAGGGTTTAATTATCATTTGATTAGGATAAATTAAATTAATGTTTTATGCCTTCATCTGATTACCAGAAAAATTAAGAACATTTTATAGGGCCCTACTATTGTTTAAAAAGGACCCTATACAAAAAAAAAAGAATAGGTTTAAAATACAGGCATGTGGTTCTTAATTTCTTTTTATTAATTCACTATTTGTAAACTGATGTTTACTGTTAATTTTTTTGAAATATCAATAGCATTTGTATTAAAACTATATTCACTGAATGTAAAAAAAAAAATCGAGAATTGAATCGAGAGTTTGCGAATCGAAATCAAATCGAATCGGGACGTCTGAATCGATACCCAGCCCTAGTGCGCGTGCGCTTTGCAGGTGTGCGGCAGAACTGAAGATACGCTGCGCGAGATGCGGCTTGTGCGCTCGCTTCAGGTGTGAGTCAGACAGCAAGACGAGACGCCAAAGAGTTGTTTTCTGCAACTTATTGCACTTAATAACCCTTTTTTTTTTTTAACGTCCAGCTATTCTCTGCTATATGCGTCGAACTAAAACTTTGACCTTTTGTAACGTTTTGATTTAAGTAGCCTATTATTAAAATTATTCAGATATCGCACGCCGTTGCGATATGCATATCGCGATATTTACATTGGCGATATATCGTGCAGCCCTACTTTAAATACTTTAAATGCTGACAATCTTTCAAATGAGTGAGCGGTCCAGTCTCTGCTTTCTAATAGGATCAGGGATCATTGGCCGTTGTTATTTTCTCTCTAAAGGAAATGAATGTTTGTTGTGTCTGTCCTAGAGAGAACGGGCTCCATCAAAGCAGCATTTATTGACACGGCCGCTCATAATGGATGGATGCTTCACAAATGAACTTCAAGCGTTTGTTCCAGTAAACACTGTTCATCCCACACAAAAGACCGTTTGATTCGCCTTCTATTTACATTTGAGCAGCAGTCATGTAGAGGAACAGGACGTTCTGGGTAGAAAGTTAGTGTACGTCTCGGTGATGAGTAAACACTGCAGACACCAGAAGCGCTTTCTTCAGGAGTCCTGTATCATGTGGAGCACAATAACACCTTACTGAGAGACGCAAGAATGTGCATTGCTGAAAATCTCAGTTATCTCTCAAACAATATAATAACATAATAGTGGTAGGTCTTTGATGTAGTCTCATTTCTCCTCCGAACTGATTTGGCTGTTACTACAGGTTTATTTACATGATTGATTTCAATGACAGGTTCTGTGTGTCTTTATTGTTCTGTACATGTGTCCTGGTTCTCTCTCTTTAGGTTGTACGTTTCACCAAAGAAGCAGGTTGCGGCTGAACTGGGGCCTGAATCACCTCTCAAATGGTGTCGAAAAGTTCTCGATCATCCCAGTCCAGAGACCGAGGTCGCCTGTCGCACGCTCATCAACCGGCTAGACCAAAGTAGGGAAACTTTACAAGATTTGTGAATACATTCATGTGCAATAGAAAGAGTATTTTATGATGTAACTGATGTTTATTGTATGCACATGAATACAGAATGACTGAATGATTTAGATTTAAGTCGGAGCGCTTTAACACCTCACTGAACTACAGAAGCATTACCGATGTGCGCTTTCCCGGGGAAATATTGTCCTGTGACATGTTTCTGCTTTGCACACTGCTGAGTTACTGTATTTTCTGCTTCTGTAGCATCTGCCACAACATGAATCTGCCCTTTGAGTCCTGATGAAATAGGAATAGATCTTTTCTTCTGTATGGTGGCATACATCAGAGAGAAACGGATGATCGAGAAAGAAAATGTATAGAATGAAGACTTGATTCTGTGCATTGGATGGTGAGATGTGAGCGTGACTCTGGAGACAGATGAACATGTGCTTTAATCAGACTAAATAATTAGAAAAGTCCTGCATACGTCACCAGATGTTTCGGTTATTAAACATTACCAGGTCAAAAAAAGAAAAGAGTGTGCATGGAAAAATTGTTCACGATGAGATCTATAACATGCATTAATAATGACACCATGTGAAATCCTGTGACGATCATTAAAATAATAACAGTTACTGGCATTTGCTGGTTCTTTACTGTCTAAAATGTTTATTGTCTTTATAGCTGGACCTATGAGTAATTAGTTTCTTTCAAGCTCTTACAGTGTTTGGCCGAATAAGAAAAAAGACCAATAAATTGTACCGAACAATGACGTGACGCGATCAAATAGAGGCGTGCACTAATGCAGCAAACACGTCAGCAGTGTGGAAGCATTTAAAAGTAAGAGAAGAGAAGAGGACGGGCTGATTGCTGCTGGTTACTGTATGATGATTGAAATCACGAAATGGCCTTAAACAATTAAATACACTGCAGAACGTTATGTTTTCTAATACACGCATGAATTGCATGTGTTCAAACCGCTTCACGAACTCATTAGCCAGGGTTCAAAGTCTACAGAGCGAGGAAAATCTGCGCTGAAACTGTGTTACTTGTCAGCTGCTCAGTCACATTTTTATGAATTTTTACTAGGCATTGTGTGATACGTGCATCTCCCCAAATTAGTTATGAGAATAATTTATAAATCTGCTGCTGTCATCAAAGAGAAGCACTGAGGTCTTCCTGCGGGTTTCTGCCAAAATAAAAGCTCCATCAACATTCATAAATGTTAGTATTGTAATTTTACTGTTGTTCTGTTAAATAAAATGAAAAAGTAAGACAATAATGATAATGATTACAACAGCTCTATTAATACATTTATTATAACATTCACACATAGTGTTCAAACTAGGATCTGTAATATTTTCTAATGTTTTAAAATAATTCTCTTATGCTCAGCAAGGCTGCTTTTTTATTCGCTGCTGTTTATTTGTCTCAAAAAAGGCCACAAAATATTATTTTACCAACTTATTAATTTTAAGTTAAATTGTGCTTTGTTGGTATAATGCCTGCTAGAATGTTAAAAAATGTTCCGTGTTAAATAAGAATATTTAAATTGTTGTTTTGTATTAGTGTACAATGTTTAAAAAGAATCATTTATTCCATGTAGTGTCCATTTCATTCATTTAACATTTAATATCGGAGGCATCAAAGTTATTTGACATATTTGATTTTGAACATTTAAAAAAAAAAAAATTATTTCCCTGGTAATTGGGTACTTTTATAATGATGTAATTCAGTTACTAACTCGGTTAGTGTTTGTGAGAAGTAACTGATTACTTTTTTAAAGTAACTTGCCCAGCGCTGGTCACTACTATTGCACTGTAATGCTGCTTCTGCCACGTTATGACAGTAGATTTACGCTTGGAATTCGGTAGTCTGTCATCAATCACAGTAGCTCATTGGAAAAAGTGCCCTTCATTGTGTTTGCACTAATAAATGCTGCTGCCTGCCAGCTGCAATCACCAATAAAACGTTGTTCCTTATTTTTTTCTACATCGTCATAAATATCATTATCGCAAATATTTTTGAAGTATCATGACATAATTTTGAGGCTATATCGCCCACCCCTACTATAAATTATTATATTTTATTTTTCCTGAAATGTAAGGTTCTCTTTTTATAAAATAGCTGCTACTGTTATGTTTATTATAAGAATCATTTCTTGCTGAAAGTATCAGAATGTGTATTTGTTATCATTGCGTTTCTTTCTCTGTTATGATGTTTGCTCTGTCAAGTCTTGGATGACTAATGCTGACTGTTAATAATGTTCACTGTTAACGGTTTCGTCAAATGGAAATGTGTGCATCCTTACATGTGAAATGCCAAATGGAGGATTCGTTCAGGGATAGTTCACCCAAAAATGGCAATTCACTCGTCGTTTGCTCACCCTCTTTCTTCTGTGGGACTTTTTTCGTGTATTTGTTATGCTTGTATTTTTTTAAATTGTTCTTGCCATGAAAATAGCCTAAGATGCTGACATGGCATTAAATAAAAACCTATACTACTACTACTCTTCTGTGGGACATAGAACAAGCTATTTTGAATAAATGTCTAAACTGGAGACAAAAACAAAATACTGAGCCATTTTTCAAAATATCTTTTGTGTTTCACAGGCGTTTTGAACAATATGAGGGTGCATAAATCATGTATTTTTTAATACAGTTGTTAGACTTGCTATGCTATATTGTTTGATTGTTGTGTTTTGTAGCGTCTAGATGGAAGAACGTGTACAGTAGCCCATCTCAGTCCAGTGAGGCTGGCGTCTCTGCGTCCTCGTCTGCTGGGTACCTCAAATCAACTAACAAAACACTACTAACCTCTGGCAGCTCAGGTATGGCATTAACCCCATTCACTGTGCATCACACACACACACACACACACACACACCCTCGCAGGCGTTCACTGGTGTGGACAGAGCGGCTGTGACTGCATGTGTTCAGGACACACAGCAGATGACAGAATCAGATTTCATGCATGAGGTGTCTGGCAAGCATTTCTGGCTGGCACACTCCTCTTGCGTTGTCTTCATCTGTGTGTTTTTATGTGTTTAAAAACCTGTTTGGTGTGCAGTGTGTGCTGAAGTCACGAGTGCATGAGTTTCTGCTGTTTAATGAACCTCGTTAGTAACCAGAGATAATTGAATTGCTTTGCTGCATCAGTGTGACTCACTTGCAGTATTAGGGCAGCGTGATATGGATCAAAAATCATATCTGTATTTTTTTAGACAGAACGGCGGAAGAGATTGGACATACATCCGCTTTTGGATGCAGCTGGTTTATAATAATCTCTACAGATGAAATGTTTTTTTCTGCTCATCTGATGTTTTAAATCTTCAAATCTTCAAAGAATTGAACTAGGGCTGCAACTAATGATTATTTTGATAACTGGTTAATCAATGTATTTGATTAATCAGTTAATTTAACTAAAAAGCCATATTTGTTCTGCATTTATAAAAAACATATTTACACTTATTTTACATCCTGACCAGTGTTTGCCCTTTTAACAATATACAAATATAGTTATTGTATCTACAGTATCTGGACTATGCTATAGGCTACATTATGTGGAAAAAGGTAGATGAACGGCGGAAGAGATTGGACATACATCCGCTTTTGGATGCAGCTGGTTTATAATAATCTCTACAGATGAAATGTTTTTTTCTGCTCATCTGATGTTTTAAATCTTCAAATCTTCAAAGAATTGAACTAGGGCTGCAACTAATGATTATTTTGATAACTGGTTAATCAATGTATTTGATTAATCAGTTAATTTAACTAAAAAGCCATATTTGTTCTGCATTTATAAAAAAAATATTTACACTTATTTTACATCCTGACCAGTGTTTGCCCTTTTAACAATATACAAATATAGTTATTGTATCTACAGTATCTGGACTATGCTATTGGCTACATTATGTGGAAAAAGGTAGATTTTTTCAGATGAATTTTGTCTGTAGAAATGTGTTATTCACCACTTTAAAGTTACGTGACTGGCGTTTCTGTGCACTGTGTGCAGACGCAATTAATCAATAATCACATTTGTTGACAATTTATTTAGGTAACACTTTATTTTAAGGTGTCCTTGTTACGCATGTTACATGTGCTTACTATTGTAATTAGGGATGCACCGATACCATTTTTTCAGAACCCATCCAATCTGAAATTCAGAGTATCGGCCGATACCGATACCAGCGCTGTTGTTTTTAATCAATGTAGAATTTCTATACTTCTGTGTGTTGATCGTCACTGTTTTGTGTGTTAAACACAATCTACTAAATATAGACAACTTAATTTTAAAGAAAAATAACAATTGAAAAAAATATATAATCTTAATGTATAACAAATTCTATTATAAACTAGATTAGTGGATAGTTTAGCAGCAGCAAAAGTTATTCTAGAAAAATCATGTGTGCACAATTTTATAAAATCTATACATTTAGTGAAATAACATTTATTTAGCGGGGAACAAATAAAAGTTAAGAAGCGTAGGATTAAATCTGGTAATCTGCTCTTTGACTATTGGGGTAATCAAAATAGTATTTTTACTAAATTAGTCTGCTTTTTTAATTATTTACATTTTTAGTTTAGTAAATTTAACTTATGCTTTAAAAGCAATATTTTTATTTTGAGATGGCAATGTTACAATGTTTGAATGTAATGTGATTTAAAAAAATTTTTTGCACAAAATATGTGCCTACATGTGTACATTCACTTTATTTGTTTGTTTATTTGTTTAATCCAAATGCAAAATACTGAGATATATATCATATACCGCAAATCGGCCAAAAAATACTGAGATATGAATTTTTGCTCATATCGCCCAGCCCTAATTACATGCAAGTAGCCCTAAACCAAACCCTAATCCTAACCCTAACCATATAGCAAGTACATGTAGTTAATTAATATTACTCAGGACTTATGCATAATTACACTGTAACAAGGACACCTTAAAATAAAGTGTAACTTCTTTTTATTGTCCATTATTACCACCAGTACTGATTAGTCGTTGCAGCCTTGTTATTGAGTGTATGTTCTGTTGTTCACAGGTTGCATGGGCGTTCCCTCTGCTCTCAGCTCACAGTCGTCTATTGACAGTGAGTTAAGCACCTCAGATGACTCCATCTCCATGGGCTACAAGCTTCAGGACCTGACTGATGTTCAGATAATGGCTCGTCTGCAGGAGGAGAGTGAGTATTGTTCACCTGACACGAATCCAGACCGCGAGAGGTTTTAGCGCGGCATGCGAAATGCAAATAAATGTGGGATGTGGAAATGCTTTCTGTTCTTGAATGTCCTTTGTTTGTTTTAAACTCTGCTTCAACAGCATTCAGGCAAACTGTAGACTGCTGTTATTTGTGGATTGGGGATTAACTTGAGTCTGTTGTGTAACTATTACACAGCAGTTGAGGGTGAAAGCTCAGAATTATTCGACAAACATTGCGTTTGTCAGGCCCATACGGTTTGACCCTCTTTACTTTTTTAAAACCAGTTTCTCAGCATGTACAAAATAAAACCCTGCCTGACATTTTTCCTGTTGAATATCAGTTTTTGCTCAGAAAGAACACCTCTCATTTAAAAAGTGCCATTTAATATTAAGGATGAAATGTAGACAGAAGTGAATAGTGATTAGCTTCAAGGAGGCTCTCATTATAAATAATATAATTTGGGACACACTAATTCTAATTTTGAATACTATTTAGGATGGATAGTATGTGAATTGGAACACAGCATATGTCTTCTCTCACTAATTGGACTTAAAATTTGTAGATTTTTCACAGATTTTTTTCTGTAACACCTTATTTTTTTTTATTTTTTTTTAAGAGAACTAGGGATCTCAATATCAGTGTCGCTACAGTATCAGTACGTAGTACCGAGTACAGACTCTGTGTCGTACCTCTGATAGATAGGCAGCTGCTTTCTGTGTATGCAGGTGTTCTGTGAGGATCACTTGTGCTAGGGCCGTCAAAATGGATGAAAAAACTAAATTCAAATTTTGTACTTAAATATAAATTTTCGAATTTATGTTCGAATTTTAAAAGGCATCATTTCAGTTATGGGGGGAAAAAACTTGTGGCCGCTCCTTAGGCAAAATATTACTAATGCACGACTATCTTTGAGAAAAGTGCATAATGTTTAAAATAATGTTTATAAACCAATATTTATAAACCATGTTTATGTATGTAGGCATAGTTTAATACAAAGGACTGAAAACCAATCACAAAGAGTACTTTTTTCATTTAAAAGAATGAGATGCAGTGGGATTGGGAAAAACCACCATAAAGTTGAGACATGTTTTTTAAAAGTTGAACTTACATTCATTTTACATGGTTTTCTAAACATGTGGCTCTCTTGTGCGAGACGTGAGTGCAGCGGTGATAGATGTCCCTCTAGAAAATGAGATTAATATGTTGTTCTGTGTGAACGGCTTGGTTTCAGTTTTGACGTAAACAACATCTTCTCCGCATTGTTCTCTTTTTCCACATTATTTTGAGTGAACAACGCAGCAGCGCCGCATCTAGTGCTTTCAACTGGATAAGCTATGAAAAACATTAAAATGCAACGACACTTGCATCGTCATCGCATCTCGGGCGCCACTGATAAGGCTGCCTGACGCACACCTAAAATTCGAATGCAACTTTTTTGCATTGGAACGTGGATTTTTATTTTAAATTCGATGAATATTCGAAATTCAAATTTTTATTTGACAGCCCTAACTTGTGCCAAAGTGGAGATGCACCTAAATACTCAAATAATCTAAATACATCAGTATCATACCAACTTCAAGGCTTTAATTTTTGACATTCAAGTTTGCTTTGACTTGTAATAATGATATTTCATTTGATGTTTCACATTAAGCTGCAGTCCGTAAGTCTTGCCTCTTTGTCGCCATCTCTGTTTGAAAACCTGCAATTGCAATTATTTGCAGAATGATCATCTTTACGTGGGTTGTGCACCGGCACGGCTCCAGCGCGGATGAATCTAATGTTTTGTAACCATTAAAAAAACATTTTGTAACCATGTTTGTGCGGATACTGTACTTGGGAATCACAGATTCTAGCCTATATCTTGAAATATATGACCCAAATAAGAATCTGAACAAGTAAAAAGTCTGCCACTTTTGTTCTGACCAACTGAGGAAAAAACATTACAATAAATCGCGCTACCAATGGTGATTAAATCTAACGATCAGTTAATTAGCTCATGTCACATCAAACCATGTAAATTATTATTATTGTTATACTTTGTTCTCAAATGGTTAATGTTAACAACATCAGCATTGCGTGACATAGTGTGTATTAGTGTATATAGTATATACAGTGTGTATTAGTGTGTAGATTTCAATTTCTGTTCAGTCCATTTGAATTTCGTATTAAGAAAATCTTTTAACCCAAAAGGCAAATTATTCTTCCTTCGAACTGGTTCTCTTTAAAATACAGATCTTGTGTAATTCCAGGCTATCTGTAATCAGATGCACATTAAAAACTGGAATATAATTTAATTTCATTCACATGCGTTTCATAAACGCATAATCCTTTCTGCATTACAGTCCGCCATCAAAATGATACATTTAATTATTCCAGCTGCTGTGAGAAAAGGCTATAAACGATCCACACCTGCAGGATCCTCACATGCGATGCATCTGAACAAGTAAGTAACAAGTCTGCCACGTTTGTTCTGACCAACTGAGTCAGCTACCAATGGTGATTTAATCTAAATGAGCTCATATCACATCAAACTGTGCAAATTAGTATTATTGTTATACTTTATTCTCAAATTATTAATGTTAACAACACCAGCATTGCCTATAGTATGTATTAGTGTGTAGATTTCAATTTCTGTTCAGTCCATTTGAATTTCGTATTAAGAAAATCTTTTAACCCAAAAGGCAAATTATTCTTCCTTCGAACTGGTTCTCTTTAAAATACAGATCTTGTGTAATTCCAGGCTATCTGTAATCAGATGCACATTAAAAACTGGAATATAATTTAATTTCATTCACATGCGTTTCATAAACGCATAATCCTTTCTGCATTACAGTCCGCCATCAAAATGATACATTTAATTATTCCAGCTGCTGTGAGAAAAGGCTATAAACGATCCACACCTGCAGGATCCTCACATGCGATGGCCTACTAGCCGGGACAACTTCTTTATGTTTACAGACGTGACGTAATGACGCAGTGCCATGCTCGAATTTCCCATGAAAACCTACCCTACCACTCAAATTATAAAACAGTATTATAAGCTAACCGTTGTGAATCGGGCTAAAGTAAGGCGGTAGTTTTGAACACTGGCTGGTTATGTACTTGCTCAAATATTGATTTCGGATCATTTTGAACCCAAATAAGTTCCGGATTGCAGCTTTAAGCTTTATTTTCCTTTATTGACCTTTGGTGGTGTTTTTCAGGTCTCCGGCATGACTACGCCTCTACCTCGGCCTCGCGCCGCAGCTCCTCTGCCTCCCTGCAGTCTCTGCGTCGAGGCACCTACAGCGACCAGGAGCTGGACTCCTACAGTCAGGAGGACGAGGAGGACGAGTGCTGCTCTCTGCCACAGCGGCTCCAGCGCTACTCGCCCTCCCCCCACGGCTCGCCCCGCCGCCCACACATGTCCCGCCGCTCGCTGCGGGGCCCGGGGCCCAAGAGCGAGGGTAGGGCACTGTCCATCACACATGAAATCGAAGGCAAATTTGTTAGGGCAAATTGCTTGTTCAACAGAATTGATCGTGATGCTGATTGATGAACTAAATAATGGATGCACTGATCATCCAGTGACATTAGTGCTGTGTTGTAGAACAAATAATTATCATGTAAAGGGGTCATGCAATGTGTTTTCAGATCTTTACATTGTTTCTGAAGTTAGCTAATGACATTTTTTTGCTCTAAAACGTTCAAATATGTGACCCTGCAGCACAAAAGCAGTGTTAAGTCGCTGGGGGATATTTGTAGCAATAGCCAACAATACATTGTATGGGTCACAATTATTGATTTTTCTTTTATGCCAGAAATCATTAGGATATTAAATAAAGATCATGTTCCATGAAGATATTTTGTAAATTTCCTATGCATTGCAAAGAACTTCATTTGGACAACTTTAAATATGATTTTCTCAATATTTAGATTTTTTTTGCACCCTCAGATTCCAGATTTTCAAATAGTTGTATCTCAGCCAAATATTGTCCTATCCTAACAAACCATACATCAATGGAAAGCTTATTTATTCCGCTTAAATCATCTCAGTTTAAAAAAAATTATGCTTATGACTGGTTTTGTGGTCCAGGGTCACATATTAGAAGAAAAAAAAAAAAGATAATTTTCCATCCTCATTTTTAATCTCTGTCAAAAACACTAATTTCAAGGGGCATTAACTCCTTCAGAAACACAAGTAAATGCCTGAAGAAAATTACTGATGTTAAAACTCTAATTAAAATATTTAGCAAGAGTTCACTTAAAGCCTTTATATTATATGCATTATAAAGGTTTTGTATTACTAATGCATTATATGATCTCATGAATAATTGTACCCACAGTTATTATACATTATAATATTTACTTATTCATTGTTACACCTTTAGAAAGTATAATGCATTAAAACACATGACAAACAAACCTTTAAATATTAAACTTTTAAAAAATATATATTAACTTTGGTTACAATTGTTACAATATAAAACTCTTAAGTATAAATATCAAGGACATTTTCATTCTCCATTTCATGACCCCTTTATCATAGGAAATCAGATGACAGTCTCGGAAGTAAATTAGAGTTTAATTTACTTTAAAAACATGCTGTAACTTACAGAACTCAAAACGTCCTCCCCTGTCCAAAAAGACTCGGCTAACTTGAGCTAAGACTTAAACCTCAGCTGAGAAAAGGCTCATTAGAACTGCCTGAATTTACACCGCAGTCTTGCCTGTTGGGTGATCAGAAACTTTGCGGTGAGGTGGATAGATATTATTATTCCTAAACACTAGGGGTGTAACGGTACACTAGCATGACGGTATTGACGTCACGGTTCGGTATGGCTTCGGTATGGCAGGGAAAAAACTAAACATAAAATTGCTGCTTTTTTTTTTTTTTATTAAACAATGGTTTACTGTACAAATTCCTCCTCCTTTAAATAAATTAGATTTTAATGAATTTTCTTAGGGATAAAAATCTACCTCAGCTCTGAACTATAGTGAACCATTTTACATTATGATAAGGTTACACGTAATAGAGCCCAAACTTAAATGTAATTATTATTTATTTTTCAATATAATAATCAACGCTCAACTCAAATTGTATGCAAACATGTAAATTGCACTTAATGCAGTTTTTAGATTAACGTCTCAGAAGTTATTACATTTCTATTTCTGTTGTTGAAATATATTCATTTACACAGTGGCTGTCATAACTTGTTTAATAACAGATGTATTTAAACATACATTAAATAAGACATCAATTCAATTCAAGTTTATTTGTATAGCGCCTTTTACGATACAAATTGTTGCAAAGCGACTTTACAGAAAATTAAGTTTCTACAATATTTAGTAGTAGCTTATCAGTGGTGACCGTCAGTTTATGTACATCTCTAACAGGTGAAGTAAAATATGAGTTTATAGTGTAATATTTTGTGAAATGCTCCTCTCTAGACTAGGGCTGTGCGATATGGGCAAAAAAAAACCTATCGCGATTTCTTTGATCAATTTTGCGATGTCGATTTTAATCACGATTTTGACACACACAGACATGCTTTACAGTCATTAATGCATTCAGTGTGAATTTGAGACATATTTCCAGAAGAAAACCGATTAGAGCTTTATCAAGAAGCTGTAACATGTCTCTAGAACAGACATGAGGCAAAATAATCACTAAGTAAAGGTGTAACACAATGTCTCTAGAATAGACATATGGCAGGAATGCATTGGTCATAGAGCTCTTTGTGGCGTTGCCTCAGATGCTGAACTAGATTTGTTGCACCAAGTTCACACGTACTCCGTCTGCCGTGTGTATACAGTATGTGTATGCGGTGCAGAAGCAGCACAGACTCATTGTGCTTTCGCACCGGACACGTTTGCAGTCCGCTCCTGGTCCGCGGCTGTTTACCACAAACACAACATTTATCCATTATTTTGATTTCAAATCCAAGCGTTGTTTCTGAAAATGCTTTTTCAGCATTGTGATTCTCTTTTATCACAGTACAGTAATACAATCTTTCATAGACATATTCACTTTGTTTAGCTACCACCACGAGTGCTGTCTATTACTGCCTTGTTTATCTAAAAGTGCACTTTTCCTTGTTTTAAATCTAGCCACAAAGCCATGTGTTGACTGTGAAACAGTAGACTTTAATTATATGCATTTATGGTGTAATTACTAAATTTCCGTGTCAATCCATGTTAATTTTTATCGTGAATAATGCGCTGTCACTTTAATTCAGCGCGTGCAGCACAGCAGTAATAGACTCCGTGCGGAAACGATCGCTGCACCGCTGCAGACGCACCGCTCCTGGAGCGCACTGCCGGACCGCAATCGCGTGCAGTGTGAACGCTCTGATCAGTTAACATGGGCGCGGACAAAATACGCACCACAGACCGAGTGTGTGAACCTGGCGTTACGTTTGTATGCCCGCCCGGTCTGTTCTGTTCTCATGCTCCATTTAGGCGCACTGCATTCTGATTGGTTCGGATAACATACTGCGGGAGGTCGGGGGCGCGGAAAATCGTGCTATAAAGCGATTTAGAAATCGCGCAAGCTCAAATCACGATTTTATGACGATTTCGATTAATCGCACAGCCCTACTCTAGGCTTAATTTCTCTTGCGAACTAACGAGCTGTGGACACTTGCCTGAGGTAAATGAAATGCTACGTGATTTTGAATTTTGTTCACAAGCTGTTTTATTGACGTCTTTCCGCGATTGAAACACTGTTTGAGCGATTACTTGAGGCATGAGATTTTACAAGTAGTTTTTAAATGAGATTTTTAAAACTAGTAGTTAGGGCTGCTCGATTATGACAAAAATCATAATCACGATTATTTAGCACGGTTATAAGTGGGCCATATGACCAACTCTTTAAATGAATGATTTATTTAAAGATAGCGATATATGAATAATCTAATAAAAAAAACAGCATAATCTTCACTGTAAGAATTTAACTTTAATTTGTTACTTATTAAAGCTACAAAAGTCCTTCAGTCAAGAGCAGTGAGTGATTTTGTCTTTGTCTTTTGTTGTCTGATTAATATTAAGCACACAGTTGCAGCAGGAATATAGCCTGCTGTCACTTTAAGAGCCGCACGGATCCTATTTACTATTATTGTAGGCTAGCTCAGAAGTTAGTGTCACTGTCAGACAAGTCGTGTGTAGCCGGACATTCAGATTGACAGCAGGAGGGTCTGGACTCAATCGCAGCTTTCAGCCGTCTGACAGACATGTCACAGCCAGTCACCGTTTTGTTCAGCATCATTTTGTTGGGTTTGAAAATGTAAAGTACATGTCCCTACAATAACAGACCCACAATAACATTGTCTTCGGTCGTCAAGAGTCTGTGCCGTGACATTCCCATGCTTCTGAAAATCCAGTGTTTAGTTCATCCTGATATGCACTCATTTTCACAGTTGTAAACATTGACGGCTTTCTTCTGTGAAGGGGGTTTGGTGTCACAACAGTTTTATTTCCAGGTGGACCGTTGAAGAACGCGACACGCATCTCCTAGAAATCCTGTAGAATTCATCCCATCAGATGACGACTTTGAAACTCCAAAAGTGTTTCCCATTTTGTGTGCCTTATGCGTCAAACGTTCAGCAAACCATCCATGGTGGAGATTTAGAGTAGCATCATCCTGGTTCCCTCAACACAAACCAAAAGGATTTTTCCATGGGCTGCTGGATTATTGTAGAAAATAGGCCCTGTGAACAACAAAAATTCATGATTCTCGCATGTTCAGCATAATCTTCACAAATAGGGTTGGTTTTGACACAGATTTCATTATTCGATTCTGTCTTACAAGCGTTCAATTCGATTTTCGATTAGATTCAATTCAATGTAGATTATTCTGGATTAGGGATATGCCGGTATCAAATTTTCATGTTGCGATTAATTGCTAATGCTTTTATCACGGTATGCGGTATTATCGCGATATTGACATTTAGTTTAAAAAAAGTGCTGTCATAATACAGTATAACAGGTTTAATAACTTTTTTCTTATAACAAAAATAACTGAACATTTAAATGCAATAAAGCAATACAGAAAAGTGTATAAAGTTAAAAGTTTTACACAGATTAAAGTGCAAAAGAACTATAAAGACCAATAGGTACCACTTTACAATAAGACCTCATTAGTTAAGCTTAGTTAATGCATTAACATTCACAATCAGCAACAGCTACATTTGCTACAGAAGCTATTAATCTTTGTTTAAAAAATACAAGTCTCAGTTCATGTTAGCTCGTTAAATAACACAGTTGCAACTCTTGATTTTAACAACGTGTTATTAAATATTGTAATACCTAAGATTAATGAATGTTCAGAATAATTTTTCATTGGCAGTTTGTTAACTAATGAATTAACTAATGAAGCCCTAATGTAAAGTGTGCTTACAGCAGTGTTGTGCATTTTGACCAGTTGATGGGAAAAGTGTTCTTAAAAAGTATTCAAAAAATTCTGAATTTGTAATATATAATTATTCACAGTATTTAGAAGTGCCCACGATAACAATATCGTGCATATCCATTACCGTGATACATCGCATTACCGAATACCGGCACAAGTCTATTCTGGATATATCAGGTGCAGTACATGCCAAATTTTTTCAAGGGAAAAAAAAAATCTCTAAACTAATGCTGTAAAATATACACGAGAGTCAGTTGGTGCTACATTACTATAATATTAAAATTAACTGATTTATATACAAATACTTAAATTACACTCAATGAAATTTTTTATAATAGTAAACATTACAGTTTGGTCTGGTAATTTAATGCGTTAATTAGATTAATTAATTACGGTAAAAAATAACACGTCAAAATTAACGCATTTAACGCACTAGCCCCGCGCCAGACATATGTGGGTCATCTGACATTTCATACAGTTGATTGATGACAAATATGAGGCAGAGCAACAACTCACTGCGTGATGAAGCCTAGAGAACAGTTAGAATATCCCTAAAATTCAAGATATGGGGGCAAAAATGCACCTGTTTGAGTTTGTCTCAAATTTACATCATATAGTTAAAGGTGGGGTAAGTGATTTCTGGTAGCCAATGTTGACATTTTAAATCACCAAAACAAACACGCCCCTACCCCAAAAGGGTCTCGCCCACTTCACACGAGCAATAGGCTAAGTGCAATATCACACAAGTGCAAATGCGATACTGATCTTCTACAACAGTTCAGTAAGTAAGAAGTTAATATTGTGTTATTTTAGACACAATATTGTCTGTTTTGCTCAAGTTTGCCAACGAAAATATAAAGACAAAACAGAACTGTTCGTCTCCGAGCAACACACAGCAGCATTTCATTTCTTAATGCACGTTTTGAACGAATTGGGTGAATCATTTGGAGCGTTGGATTTGAAGCGGCGCTGCACAGATCGATCGATGTGTGACATCAAAGTACTGCGAGAGCAATTCAAAAGCATTAGGAGTCGTCTGCTCTCTATAGCTCTCGCGGTATTTTGATGTCACACACCGATCGATCTGATGCTGATGATCCGCTTCAAGTCGAACAAGCCGAATGATTCAATGGACCATTCATAAAGAACCATTTACTTCACTCCTGAATGAATCAGCCATTTGAACGAATCGAATGAATAAATGACTCGATGACTTAATCATTAAGACATTGACCACCACCTACTGGCAGTTTTAGTTTATTATTTAGAGTATAATTTCATTAAAGAAATAATTTCATATTTCCATAGTAAAAATAATAAAATAAGTTATTAATGGTATAGTTCACCCACCTAAAAATGACAATTGTGTCATTTACTCACCCTCATGGTCTAAAATAATATATGTAATACATTTTATCAAATAAAATATTTCTTGCTGAAGCTACTTTTTGTAATGTCTGTTTGATGCTTTACACAACAATGACTTTAAATGATCTTTTGGGAGTAATTTCTCAGCCAAATTTGATGTGCGATTAATTTGTCTAATAATTAATTGCCACATCATGCAGTTAATTAGATTCAAAATTTTAATCGCTTACCAGCCATAATAATTATATTTCTACTCTAATTCATTTAAACATTTAAATGGTGGCTGTCATGAAAACATGATGGATTTATTCAAACATAAACATTGAAGAACAGTAAAAATTATAGTTTATATTATATGGTGCATATATTTAGCAAAATGCTCCTCTCTAGAGTTAATTTCTCTATCTGACTAACGAGTTTATGGTCACAGAATATGTTTTTTTCTGAGGTAAATGTGACGTTACATGACATATGTTTACAAGCGGTTACATTGACGTCGGTTGAAACACTGATTGAGCGATTACATGAGACGGATTTCAGCAAGTTGTAGTCTTTCTTTTATCATACCTTCAGATATTCATTCATGTTTATTTTGCACTGTAACTGCATTAAAGCGGAGATGATCAGTTCACGTGCACCTGAGGCGCTACAGCGATCTTTCGTGCCACATTAATAAACTCCAAAATAGCATTTATTGTTTGAATACTGTAATAAAATGGTAAGAATGTGAAATCTGAGACTTTTTCATATCAAAAGTAACAAATCGTAAAGCTTTGCGAATTAAAATGCGATTTATTGGATGGGAGGTGTGCTACAATGTTCCGTTCGCTAACTGTAAACAGGCTAGTCTAAGCGATTCTTGGGATTTAAGAATCGATATTGTTTCGTAAAAATGACAATCGATTAAAATCAAGAAATCGATATTTTTTTACCCAGCCCTATTCACAAATGAGCACAACTTTTATGTATTTTGAAGCCTAAGTACAATTGCCAGAAGTAAAAATGCTAAATGTAGGCTATAAAAGAACACAAAGAGTCGCATGACTTCAGTGTCACCAGCATTAAGGCCAAGTATATGTCATTGTTTTACGTGTACGCGCACCTCGTACACGTAGCCTTTCAAAGTATGCACCATTTGAGGTGTACGTGAATCTAGGTGGTCGACACATGCTCTCTAGAAAGCGTCGTCTTATTCCAGCGTCTGCTCTGTTTTTGTCCAGAAGTTATAACCGATGAAAATGAAAATGTCCTTGTACTCATTTAAACTATAGTTGTGGCTCTCTCATAACTCTCACACAAGTGTTTGTCAATGTGCAGTCATCTGTTGTTGTTGCAGTCTCCGCTATTTTGTTGTTGTTGTTGTTCTGTCTTTGTTTCATTTTCTACTGTGAAATATACACAGACACAGACACGCTCACACAGACACAGACACGCTCACACAGACACAGACACGCTCACACAGACACAGACACGCTCACACAGACACACTCACACAGACACACACACACGCACACAGACACACTCACACAGACACGCACACACTCACACAGAAACTCACACGCTCACACAGACACAGACACGCTCACACAGACACACTCACACAGACACAGACACGCACACGCTCACACAGACACACTCACACAGACACACTCACACTCACACAGACACGCTCACACAGACACGCTCACGCTCACACAGACACGCACACGCTCACACAGACACAGACACGCTCCACACACGCACACACAGACACGCTCACACAGACACGCACACACTCACACAGACACGCACACACTCACACAGACACGCACACACTCACACAGACACGCACACACTCACACAGACACGCTCACACAGACACTCACACGCTCACACAGAAACTCACACGCTCACACAGAAACTCACACGCTCACACACACACAGACACGCTCACACAGACACGCTCACACAGACACGCTCACACAGACACGCTCACACAGACACGCTCACACAGACACGCTCACACAGACACGCACACACAGACACGCACACACTCACACAGACACGCACACACTCACACAGACACGCACACACTCACACAGACACGCTCACACAGACACTCACACGCTCACACAGAAACTCACACGCTCACACAGAAACTCACACGCTCACACACACACAGACACGCTCACACAGACAC